AACACACCTAGTAACAGAAAGGGGACAAACAAATCACATAAAAAACAATCATCGAAAGGATTCAACACACCTAGTAACAGAAAGGGGACAAACAAATCACATAAAATACAATCATGGAAAGGATTCAACACACCTAGTAACAGAAAGGGGACAAACAAATCACATAAAATACAATCATCGAAAGGATTCAACACACCTAGTAACAGTGACAGAAAGGGGACAAACAAATCACAAAAAACAATCATCGAAAGGATTCAACACACCTAGTAACAGTGACAGAAAGGGGACAAAGAAATCACATAAAAGACAATCATCGAAAGGATTCAACACACCTAGTAATAGTGACAGAAAGGGGACAAACAAATCACATAAAAGACAATAATGGAAAGGATTCAACACACCTAGTAACAGAAAGGGGACAAACAAATCACATAAAAGACAATCATCGAAAGGATTCAACACACATAGTAACAGTGACAGAAAGGGGACAAAGAAATCACATAAAAAACAATCATCAAAAGGATTCAACACACCTAGTAACAGAAAGGGGACAAACAAATCACATAAAAGACAATCATCGAAAGGATTCAACACATCTAGTAACAGAAAGGGGACAAACAAATCACATAAAAGACAATCATTTTATGTGATTTGTTTGTCCCCTTTCTGTTACTAGGTGTGTTGAATCCTTTCCATGATTGTCTTTTATGTGATTTGTTTGTCCCCTTTCTGTCACTGTTACTAGGTGTGTTGAATCCTTTCGATGATTGTCTTTTATGTGATTTGTTTGTCCCCTTTCTGTTACTAGGTGTGTTGAATCCTTTCCAGACAATCATGGAAAAAATTCAACACGCATAGTGACAGAAAAAAGGACTTGTTTGCTGATACAGTCTGTCTTCCATAAAACTTTATGACACATTTACTGTCAATACTAGTCAAATAAACCAGTTATTTAACAGGACAACAAAGAGAACTCAATTAAAGAAAGTATAAAACATTCATTAAGTAACGTGTGTGTTTCCACCTGGGATTTGAGCTACAACAGCACCCTGTTATGTTATTGTACAATCATTAATTTTGATGAGTTAAATACAGCCAACTCTTCTTAGCTACAAACACTTCATCAATATATTGTTGAAACATTTTACACAATTAATAACTACGTTTATTTCACCAGTTACTGAAACGCTAGATGGATCTGTTCTTGTCATTGATTAAAAAATATTTTTTAAGTATAACTTTCACATCAAGCCATTCAAAAATCAAATAAAATCTCTGAAATATTCAGAATATCACAGGCAAGACTTATAAAATAGGTCAAGAAACAACAAATATAACTGAAGACATGAAATACACGAGTGACAAACGAAGATGTTTAAAAGAAATCAATGTTAATAAGTCTTGAGTGAAGCAAAATATGTATTAGGAAAGGAGACACAAGTTTTGTCAATTATTGCTGTAGAGTAATGTCCAACTACTCAGTTTTTAAACTGATGATATACTGGTCATCTATGGAAATAGATGAGGTCAATAAGTTGTTAAGAAAGAACGTCTACTTTGATAACACGTAAACAAACGATACCTTAACATAAGGCCTGGTTTGTGCAATTTGGTCTTCTGAAACAAGAACAGGTCAATATTAACACCGGTCAACAATTTTTGTTAATTCCAAAGTCAGCAATCACTATTATAATTACAATCAACAATCTGTTCTGATAACTTACAATATACAAATACTAAGACAGTGATTTAAAGAAAACATAAAACAATACAGACTGAAATTCAGAAGTTAGGATTTAAGTCATTAACTTTATCGTATAAAAAGATCGTTTGTTCAAAGAGGGGGGGAAAATGTTTGCGATAAGTATTTTACACCCAACGACATCATAAAAGATTTGTTTCTGTACACCAGTGTAATCAACCATAACGATCAATATCACAACAATATATTGAATTAAAAGTTTACAAATGTCCAGCTGTTATCTAAACAAACCTTAAAAAATGAGCATTCATCAAAGATGAACCAATTATGACTATAAAGCAGTGTAAGCTTCTACAATGTCTGGCTGACTTCCAGTAGGCCGATACTCTGCAGGATTTGGTGGCTGACCTCGCCCACGAGAGTAGGGATAATGTCGAGAGGGACGATAATCAACTCCATGTAATGGGAAAGGCATTGGTTCCGTTCTTCTGTAACTTGCTCCATTGTACCTTGGTCTATATTCCCAACGTTCGGCCTCGGGACGTGGATGCAGTGGTGACATTCCTCGCCCCAAGTTATTCTGGTTGCTATTGGAGCGGCTTCTGCCCCGAATGTGGATGATTCTTGTTTCACCGTCTGTTGGCACTCGGAACGGTGTTTCGTTCTAGAGGTAAAATTCTTTGTACATGACATATAACACCCTCAGATAACTTTGTACGTGACATATAACACCCTCAGATAACTTTGTACGTGACATATAACACCCTCAGATAACTTTGTACGTGACATATAACACCTTCAGATAACTTTGTACGTGACATATAACACCCTCAGATAACTTTGTACGTCACATATAACACCCTAGATAACTTTGTACGTGACATATAACACCCTAGATAACTTTGTACGTGACATATAACACCCTCAGATAACTTTGTACGTGACATATAAAACCCTCAGATAACTTTGTACGTGACATATAACACCCTCAGATAACTTTGTACGTGACATATAACACCCTCAGATAACTTTGTACGTGACATATAACACCCTCAGATAACAAAAGATATATTTTAGTTTTAGTCAGTAAAACGATTAAAAGTTTCTATTATATATCTAAATGGTTAGCATAATACGTGATTGATTGATTGCCCCTACGTTTTCATAAAAAAAAATGTTTTACATACAATACAGTTTATGTGGAAAAATATAATTATCTTCATCTTCAAAATCAATACAACAGTTTACATGAAAAAAAGGAGGAGGAACAAGGGGGAACTAAAAGTTTTTCAAATCCTAACCCAAACATTACCTATTGTAGACGTACTAAATGAAGATGTTAAGGATTTCACTGTGAAGTCATTCTCTGTTTAACCACATTAACCACATCTTTTTTATGTCAACACTAGGTAATCTTTACACTTGTTAAGGATTTCACTGTGAAGTCATTCTCTGTTTCTAAGATCTACAATAGGTAATCTTTATGATTTAGTACGAAGATGTTAAGGATTTCACTGTGAAGTCATTCTCTGTTTAACCACATTACCTCTACAATAGGTAATCTTTATGAACCACATTATTTAGTACTGTTAAGGATTTCACTGTGAAGTCATTCTCTGTTTTTCTTAGTGTAAAGATTACCTGGTGTTGACATAAAAAAGATGTGGTTAAACAGAGAATGACTTCACAGTGAAATCCTTAACATCTTAACCTAAAGATTACCTGGTGTTGACATAAAAAAGATGTGGTTAAACAGAGAATGACTTCACAGTGAAATCCTTAACATCTTAGCCTAAAGATTACCTGGTGTTGACATAAAAAAGATGTGGTTAAACAGAGAATGACTTCACAGTGAAATCCTTAACATCTTAACCTAAAGATTACCTGGTGTTGACATAAAAAAGATGTGGTTAAACAGAGAATGACTGCACAGTGAAATCCTTAACATCTTAGCATAAAGATTACCTATTGTAGATGTACTAAATAATGTGGTTAAACAGAGAATGACTTCACAGTGAAATCCTTAACATCTTGGTCAAAAGATTACCTATTGTAGAAGTACTAAATAATGTGGTTAAACAGAGAATGACTTCACAGTGAAATCCTTAACATCTTAGCATAAAGATTACCTATTGTAGACGTACTAAATAATGTGGTT